ACATTAAAAAGATTCAACTGAATCACACAAAAATGCCAATGTACAAAATATCATTTATGAATCACAGAAATGTCGATGAGTGGAAAAAAACATTCAAAGCCATATTAATTCTATATTTACTTAAGCATTACATTTGTATTGCAGTTTCAGAAAATGGCAACAATAAAATTAGTAATAACAAGTAGTAACATTTGATTGAGAGAAATGTGTGACTATTATCAAATCAGCCAAGGGAACAAGACATATTTCTCATATTTATAGAATAAACCACTATGTAGCCAATACTGTATATTTATGTTTCATCATCTATGTCCAGTATATATGCAGACATATCTCCACTTTAAAAATGGAATCTTATTTTTTATGAAAGTAAGTTAATATTAGTATTAAATTGTGTTATTGTTTATATACATCAACCAAACTTGACATTATCAAACACAAGAATCACCAACTTATGAGAATAAGCATTAATCTTTCCACTAAAATTTCACTTATTTGTACATGTGAATCACAATATTTTTTTTAAATAATGAGAAATTAATATATCCAAGGTATATAAAGCTGATGAAATGCATGAAAAAAAAATATCATTAGATAAAATATACACAATAATTGTAATTCTCATAAAAATTAACAATTAATTAAAGGTACTCTTATAATGCAATTGGGAAAATGTTACCTTCTCACAATCTGCTGAATATGATTTCTTACAAAAAAAGTGTGTGTAGGGATTACTGTATTTGATGGCCTATTGGACACAAATTTTTTCAAAAATATTACCCTGTGTCCAATACTGCAGTATCACTTATGAGTGGGACGTGAATACCACAAAAAAGTGTGGTCTACCAAGAATCAGCGCATGCACAGATCTTAGTTTTGAAATTAGGACTCCTGGAAGTGAACAAACATGATATCAATAAAAAATATTCCTGAAAAAATCACCCAGGAAAAAGAAATTTATGGAATTGCACAATATTTTGTAGAAATACCAGATTATATTAAAAAAAGTACCAATAGTATAATTTGTAAGAATACGGTATGTATTTTTATGGTTAATGAGAATGTCACATAATGGTAAGGTTACAATTTTAATTTTTGTTTTTGTGATGTATTTTTCCCCTGAAATATCCCATACCAAAATGTGGATGTATCCAATATGTGAGTGTGTCTAATAGGCCAGCAAACATGGTACTTGAAAAGAATATTTTTGATAGATAAGTGTAATCTATAAATTCATTTTAATGAATCCAACAAAGATTTCTATAGTGCTGAACTATCTGAAGTATCTTCTTTTTTTTTTCTTCATTTCAATGAATGGATGATAAATATAGAACATACTTCAGAGGCAATAAAAAGATTGGTGACCAATTGACTGAGGATTGAATTTTCAAAACTACTGTACATACTAATCAGAAAAAAGAGCTATTTAAATAACAAGTTAGTGAACTACATCAATTTTGTCAACAAATATTAGACTAAAAAGTTTTTACAGGATATATGTAAATTGCAAATTACTGATATATTAATGGAGACAGTCAATGTTTGGACTTGCAAAGATGGGTCAAGCCAATTGAAGAAGAGGATATTGTTAGGTAATTACAGCTTAATATCTTGGCTAGGGCTTGCTCCAGACAACTATTAAGTTGTCTCTATTTAATAGCCACAAACATATCATTGAATCAAAACTTTTACTAAGTAGGAATTCATTCTTCCTAGCTTGGATGGAGGCAAACAGAATTACATTACAGATAAGCATTGAGCTTCTATTTAAGTAGAACTAATGATGCTTGCTAGACTTGTAATGCTTGATGAATCTGTATTGATTTTTTTCCACAAATAGTTTAAGTGCAGCATTTTGTAATCTTTACCTAAAAAATAAATAAAGTAAAAAGTTATTTAGCACAAAATATAAAAGGGAGCTAATATTTTTTTTAATAACTGATCCTGAATTTCCTGCTTTTTGATACAATAAAATATTAATTATATACAGGAAAATACAGATCAATTAAACAAATTGCATAAACGTTACACTAAGGGAAACAAAAAATAGTATATGGGAGCCAAACTTCATTTAAAAATTTCAATACCATATTTTATTTTGTAAAATAAGTAATCATTTATTTACTTAGGTTACAATGGTAGAACCAGCATGAATTGACAAACTTTGTCCATGTATTTATTCCAATATTTATTTATATCACAGCTGGTGAAAATGAAAGTATATCCAAGATAAATTGTCTGCAAATGGAAATATCCACCAAATATTAAAATTAGTTCCTGTTTGAAACTCATAACACTCCTTGCCTGGGAACATTGACATGATGTAATGGTTAGCAAACTTGTCTCTTTACATCCATTATGACTGAATAGTGAGTTTGATCATCATTTTGTGCACCATACTTTTGACCTTGTGCTACATCTAAGCTATGCTTAGAAAATCTACATAAGACTCCTTGCCTATAATCACTATGGAGTGCAATTTGTAGCTGTTGACAATTAAGTGAGACTGTAATAACATGGCTTCAAAGTGATATGAAGTCTTATTTTAATCATTTCAACCCAAGCAAGGCAATAAAGCCACTAAGATGTGAAGAGTGTTAAATAATATGAGAAAATAAAGCACTATTAAGGATAGAGGACAATAAAAAAACAAGAATTAAGACAGAAGATAATGACTGATATTGCATCTAAATTTTTTAAGATCAAAGTTGACTTGGAAGCAAAATGCTGGAAGAGTTCCATAAGCAAGAAGTGCGATAGAAGAAACTCTTAACATAGAACTTATGGATACATCTAGCCATTTCAACTGTAAAATGGTGAGACCTTGTTACCAATCTAGTACTGCGCTTAAATTCATAAAGTCTAGGTACCATAGAGGAAAGTTCATCAGAACAATTACCATGAAAGTATTTATAGAAATAGCACAGGGAAGATGGTGATGGAAAAGTGATTAAAGCTGAAATGCCAGATCAGGACCAATAACATTGCATATTCTTTGGATTTTGTCAAGAATCTCTAAATATATATCAGGATCTATATATTTAGAAATTACAAATAAAATGTAAGAAAGTAACAAGCATGAACTGGAAATGCCTCATGTTTATTCATACTGTTCACTGTATATTAGGATAGCTACTGGCTAACTGATTGAGAAGATAAGTGACTAGAAGCTGACAGAGCAGTCATATTTCCAAACAAGTATGAGCAAGAATAGAAATGTCTAATGCTGATCCTTCTACAAAAGTAGACTTAATCTCTCACTATGGAAGCTGCTAGTATCAGAGTTGTAACAGTAAGCAAATGTCATTTGTCTGAGACTAAGATAAAGTTCAGGCGGAATTAAATATTGATTTAACCAACTTCTATGGTACAATGATAGCATTTTACTGAAATCTAGTTTTTGTTTTTCATATTTAAATCCTTTTTAAACTAGCAAGAAAAAGTGAAATGTCACAAGCAGATTTTTAATAAAAAGAAGAGAAAACTTCAGTATCAGTTCTTCATTTAACTGTCTACTGTGTTACTATGAAAATTGTTTAGTGCTAGAGTGGTTTCAATGACAACCATCAGGTTGCAGCCATACTGAGACAGAATACTTCTAGGATAAATCCACTAGGTGACCATAAAAAAAAGGAAGATATACTTACTGATCTGAGAGATTGCATCTATTATAGCGGGATAGATTCTAAAACCAATAGCCTTTAATTTTTATACCATTTCAAATACCCATTAGATAATGTTGAATAACTTAATATCAACTCCTATATTATGTTCAATTAACAGGAGTTTTAAAAATAAAGTAGCAATTTTTCAGTAAGAAGAAAGCTCCTTGTTGATATCATTTTAGAGTATCATCACTAAAGATTTTTAGATACAATTAAGGAAAAAACATTATTTGTACCTCTAATAATTATGCAAATTATCAAGTACTAAGTACCATTTCATTTTACAATTAAAATAATTATAATAAATAAGAATTTTTTTATCTCTTGCAAGCCTACTGGCAATGCAAACACATCCTCATCAAGAATGCACAAGCAGAGAGCATTTTAAAATGAGAAAAATAATAGTAGATATCTAAAAAGTTAAATATCACATGAAATCTATCCATCATTTGACTGCCTCTTTATATGCAAACCAAAAGGTAACATTAACTAAGCGACTGGAGTTTCATGGATTGGAGCAGTATATTAATGTAGCTATCATTTGGGCTTTTACTGGCTAAAAAACTGAATTAGTCTGCTTAAATGCATTGAAACAGAATTCTAAATTTGAAGCCATATATATTAGTATTTGTCACATATAAAAGATTAATTTCCATTAAAGCAAGTAAAGAATTAAAAAAAAAAAGATGATTTAAGAAATTCCATAAACAATGTATGAAATATATTCATAATAAAAATGTTATTGTAGTTTTCTCTTATGTAAGTAAAGAAACATTAATTGTTGAGGAAAGAATAGTAGAAAGCCAAGTGGCTAAAATGACTTCTTCATATTCTATCTTTATATCTGAAGAGTAACTTCTGCTGTAAATACTTTCACTGGCTCAAGATTTGTCCAAGTCACGCTTTAGAATTGCATTGTCTAAAATAGAAATATCATAAAGTAGATAGAAAAAGAGAATCAAATGGAAGAAGTAGCAAGTAGAGGATTTACTGCTACTGGCTCCATCCTAACTGATTTTCATACTGAAAATACATTGGGACTGATTCAGTGGATATAAGAGGGGGGGGAGAAAAGGACATGAACTTTTCATGACACTTACCTTGGCTGAAATCACTCAACTTTAATAGTAAACAATGTTAACACAAATCAGCCATAAACTGATAATTTGAAGAAATCATCATCAGTCTTTAAGTAATTTATAAATAGAACCATATACAAAGAAATATAAGTATATATATTATGTCTATGCTCATACATGTAAAAGTACACACAAATATAAATGAAAAAAGGATAAATAAAAGGTTTTTACAGCAAAAATAAATATAAAAACTTACCTTTGGTGCCTTTCGTCCTCCAGATTCCCCACTGAAAAAAAAATTAAAGAATAATCTATAAGACAAATCCACTTTACTAGAAAGAGAGAAAAAAAAGCATTAATAAAATACAGACATCAAAAATGTATAAATTAAATGATATAATGCATATAAAAAGTCCAATAACATTTACATTACTTTTAAAATTTCAAGTTTTTTCATTTAAATAGTCATGCAAAGGGCCAGATGCAATTTCTATTAAAAGTCAGTTGATACTTCTTAACATATAAAAAACCCTTTAATAAGTTTATGTACTTAGAAATGCCAACCAATATTCATTAACAAACAGAAAAAAAAAACATTAAAATGCCAATAGCTAATAGCTTCTTTTTCCTTATATCTATATTAAATACTTCACTAGTTACTATTGCTTTGAGAATTTAAAAAAAAAAAAAAATCATAACTTAAAATCTATCAAGTTACCTCCTCCTAATTTTAGAAAATTTACGTGGCCTCACATCCCAAGGCTATATTTGTCATGGGCATTTCAGGAGACACACATGTTTAACTATCAACGCATACACCGACCGCAACAAGTTGGTGACACCGAACGTGATAATTATTTTCTCCTGATAACAAGAAGCACACAAGACTATATGTACAGACTCAAATATACATTTACACACCTTTTTCAAACCAAGAACCAATGAAAAACATCAACAAACTTCTCTTCCTACCCTACCATGCACAATGGACACTATAAACTATTAGTAAAATGCATTTACAGTTACAAAATTTGTGATCTATGAAAGTGCAAAATCACAAATTTCAAACACTACAAGGTACCTACACAACGCATGATGTTCTCTGACTTGGCAAATAGATATTTTTTGCAACATGTGGGAAACGCATGAAAAATACACACATACACACACATGTATGTATGCACATTCACTCACTGCACATACTTTGGACCATTAGTTTTTCACATTCATTTGACACACACATCTGTGTCACTTGTGACCCTTTACTGTCAATGCATTATCATTTTTATATATATATATATATATATATATATATATATATATATATATATATATATATATATTGTTTCTTGCTGTTTTTTTTACTGTTTTTACATGGATTCACATCCCAAGTTTGCTATATTTGTTGTGGGCATTTCAGGAGACACATGTCTTTATCTCTCAATGCATACACCAGCCTGCAACAGATCTACTAATCTTATTTGGATAGGTTTGCATTAAATACTCTAAAAGGTATAGCTTTCAGTACAGTAAATATTATTGAAATCTTAGATATTGCACTAGTTAAGAGAAATGACTTGAAAGCAAAATCCTCTAAACCACATTTCTTTAACATAGTTGGAAAAATAAAATATTATAAAAATAAATTAAGTTATTAAAAAATGTATTTTTTTTAATTCATATCAATATCAGGTTTCCTTGTTAATTTATTTCATGAATCAATCTAAAAACAAAATTTTATACATGGACTCTCACAAGATCAATTTATATAACTCTTGGCTCATGATTAAAAGTCACGATAAACTGAAAATAACCAGGCAATAATAATTGCAGGATATTAAATTTTCATCTTGTAGAATAAAAAGCATGACAACAGAAAAGGTTTAAGGCAATAAATGTTGAAAAAAAGGAAAAAAAACAAAAAGGATTAAATACATTTGAAAGGAAGCTTTCTCTAAGGCAACAGAAGTGAAGGAGGATAGGAGTAGTCTGGAATGATAGGAAAATGAGTCAAAAATAAAACCAAGCTTAGAGGTCTTTGTAATGGCAAAAACCATCAACACTTTTGGGGAAAAAAACTGTGTGTGTGAGGAAGAGAGAGAGAGAGTCACTATTAATTTTTAACCTTATAGATAGGAAAGGCAAAAGGGTAAAGAGCATTTTCAAATATCAAAATGTAAAGAAAAGATTTCATTATAGATCTTACTTCAATTATATAGTTATTAAGAATTAAAATCACCCAAATTGCTGATCGGATATTTAAAAAAAAAAAAAAAAAAGAGAGAGAGAATTCTTTTCTTCCCAATCTTAAAAATTAATTTTAAGAACAATGAAATAAAACTATACTTTAAAAAAATCATTACATCAAGAATATAAGAATTTCAGTCAATAATCTTATAAATTTACTAGATAAAGTTAAAATTCAGTCACAAATAAACTATGTGTGTAATTCAATTAGAGAATTTAGATATCCATATATTTAGTAAAATATTACAGGAATAAAGTGAGTTTTAAATGATAATAGGATAATACACTTCCAATGGGAGAGACTTTTTAGCACCACTTTAATTATATCATAAGGTTCCAAATCTAAAAGAAAAAGAAACATTCTCCAATAGCAATATCTGTCTATATCTCTCAGATGAGTATTATGATTACTAACATTATTTGGAGTGTTATCCTCATCGTCATTGCTATATTCACAACATTTCGGCTGTTGTATGCTCCAGCCTTCTTCAAGCCAAACCCTTTATTTCATCCACCGGGGCAAATTGTTCTAGTTCCATGTGCCATGCCTCTTCTGGATGTTTCAGTTATTTCCCTTTAACTCAACTCTCCAAGTTTTGGTTCACCACTGCTGTGGCCTGGTATTGAACTCTTTGGGTCTAGTCACAGGATCTAACCAATGTCTTTATCTACTGAGATAAAATATGTCCTTGAGGACATCTTATAAACCTAATGTCTCAGCAACCATTTATTATCAGAGCTTATAGTTTTTTACCAGAGCTTATATTGCAATTTTTGTTGTTATTCATTGCTTTTTCTCTAGCACTCCTTATTACAGGTTCCCATATTGTATTCATATCTATGCTTGGTCAGCTCAGGAGATTTTTGCGGCCTAGCATATGTTTTGTATTTTCTGGTAATGCTCTCTATCTTATTTCAACCTCATCCCACAAGGAGCGGTGATCACCCTTTTCCTTCCATATGTGGTCAGCTACACCTGATTTTTCTATTTCCCCTTGTGTTACCGTTTTACGATGTTCTTGCAGTCTTAACTTAAGGGGGCAGCCTGTTTCTCCTTTATGTTTTTTACCACAGATACATGGGATGGCATACACACAGTCCTTAGTCATGTTCTCCTCTTGGGGAGGAGTTTTATTGGAAGAGGTGTCTGCGAAGTGTTGAACCACTTTTGAAAATTGTCTTGATGTCATATGGACCACAGAACCTTTGTATTTTCTCTTATAATCCCTTCACATAGGATAAACAGACTGTTTTCTGAGTGCTTCTACCCCATTTTGTTGGAGCTGCTACCATGTAGTTGTTATGTTGTAGGGTACTGCTGATGGTTCAACACTTCACAGACACCTCAATACCAGGCTACAGCAGTGGTGAACCAAAACTTGGAGAGTTGAGTTAAAGGGAAATAACTGAGACATCCGGAAGAGGCATGGCACATGAAACTAGAAAAATCTACCCTGGTGGATGAAATAAAGGGTTCAGTTTGACATTCCAACCACCTGAAGAAGGCCGGAGCATACAACAGCCAAAACATTGTAATAAATATGGCGACAAATATGAGGACAATAGTCCGAATAATGTAAATAATGTACATAATACCTCATCTCAGAAATATAGACAAATACTGAATATTTAGATCTTGAAAAATTAAAACCATTAAAAAAAACGTTATTGAATGTTGATAAATAAGAAAAAAAGTTTGTCCCTTAAAATCAGAATACAAGATACTAATATTAAAACTGAAAAATAGGAAGATACTAATATTAAAACTGAAAAATGAAAGACATAAAACTGAAGTCTCACCATGGGCAAAAACTGATGATTTAAAAAAAAAAATTTTTTTTAAATAAAAGAATTTAACAGCCTTGAATCCACTTTGAAACTTACTCAGCTGCTGTCAATCAAATTATATTAGAGCAAGATTCATTCTCATACTTTTCGGATTAATATTCAAACTGTTATCCAAGATAATCTTTATTTGAAACCAGGTTGAACTTCTAAATGGGCATATTTTAAATTAATTCCTCTTTTGCCAGAAACTAAGACAATAAATGCTTTGCAGCCTGGCTCATTAATCAAAATTAATTGGGATAATTTTTCTATAATTATCATTTTCAGAATAGATATTCACATTTCATTCTTTGATTAAAGAAAATTCATACAGGTCTTAGAATATTACCATAGCTATATTTGCACAAATTTATTCAACTGAATTTAAAGTGTAGTATTTCTAGTATGAAATTTACCAACATTTTAAAGTTCATTCCTTTTCATAGAATATATGAAATATAACAAGCTTTCTTCATATATCAAAATCTAATTGCTTCAATGATGATCTGCATATTAGCAATGTATGAATGTACTGCTCTTATTGTCATTAGATAGCTGACTTGTAAATAACACATTTTTCACACAACAGTTCAGAGAAACTAGAGTTAACAGTTACCAAATAATCTCTTTTATATAAATGAAACAGACTGCTGGAGTCCTTTTTTATATGTATGTCTTAACATTACCTTTTACAATGATAAGCCAACAAGACAGTTCTTATTTTACTTAGAAGAAATATTAAAATTACAAAATTGCATCTTATCATAAAAATTATTTAAAAAATTTTAGTATTATTTTTATATCAAGATTGAAAACAGAAATGAAATAGAAAGACTAAATTCCAAGTATCTGTTTCTAAACTCTAACCAAAGTCAAGCTACTTAACATGTTGATTGTCAAAGGTCAATTATGAAATCTGTTATATAGGAATAAAGTGCCAGTGCCAACACTGGAGTTTGAACACAAATCACCAGAGAACAAACACAGGTGATCCCATTTTGAATAAGTAGATCATGTGATGGCAAATGAAATGTATGTATGAGAATTATGCCAAATTGCAACGAAATACAGGATCTGATATCACTATCGTAAATGAACAGACATGGAGAAAAATGGGTAAACCCAGTTTATTGACTTCTGATAAATTTACGCATGGAGTCTCAGGAAAGAGGAACTTTTTGGGTGAATTCAGCTGTAACGTTTCTTTTGTGGG